AAAAAAAAAAAAAAAAAGGCAGGAAGTGAATCAAGTCTGAGAACAAACAGGCTAGAAAGTGTCCCTAAGCTTTTCCCCACAGAATCAGACGCCTGGCTCCCTCAACGACGACAGCAAATGGGGCTGTTGTGCATGGTCAGGTCACAGGACAGGACACCTAAAACCCAGTTAGGAAAATAACCAGAATGACCCCAGAACATCAAGTACGCTGCGCTGAGTAACGTGAAGCCCACTGCCCTGTCTGGGAAAGACGGAGGGAACATCACACCGGGAGACAGAGCCCTCGAACCTGTGACCAGACAACAAGCGGCCAGGGTGAGGGCAGCAGCAAGAGCTCGGCCACGCGGCTTGAGCGCGCGCCCTGGTCTGGGATTAAAACGAACCAACTAGGAGCGCTTCACACCGCCTGCCCTGCGGGCGTGGAGCTGGCCAGAGCCCGGGGGCCGGGGCGGCCGGCCTACCGGAGGAGCTGGAGGTTTCGTCCTTCTTCTCCTCCTCCTCCTTGTCATTGCTCTCCCCTCCCGTTTCCGTGCCGGCTTCCCTGTCGCTGTCCGTGTCTTTGGACTCCAGCACATTGATGGTGGGGGTGCTGGGCCTGCTGTTGTTGGGAAGCCTCCCTCGTCTGCGGCCTCCGGGGCGTTTGGGGGGCGTCTTGATCCGCTCGGCAGTGAGGGCAGCAGCGAACTCCTTAGCTCCCTCCTATGAAGGGAAACAGGGAGACGTCAAGGTCAAGTTCTACAGCTCATTTTGCTGGAGGAGAAAAGAAAGGCTGCATAAGTGAGGGAGTGAGGAAATTTAACACAATATTCATCTGCATCTCTAAGCACACGTTCTCTGCGGGCTTTCGGACATGGGCTCTACATATTGCTAGAGTGGTAAGAAATCAAGCAAGACAGTTCTGTATTTGTGAAATACATTAACTGCTAAGTTAAAAGCAGAATATACTGTGTGTGTGTATGTATTTTTTCCCTTTAAAAAAGTAAGTTTTTATGGGGAGGATCATGTCAACATGCACCTGGAGTTAAGCGCTCCCATCCCGGGGTCTCTTGGGCAGCACGTGCCTCTACAGGGTCGTGTTGAAAGTGCGGGAGGGGAATACAAAGCATAGGGACAAAGCTTTGTCACTTCCTGCCTTACTAGTAAAACATCCCGCTTTTTCCTGTGAGGGATGCACAGCCCCAGTAGGACAGGACAGGAGCTGAGACAACATCCAGTCTCAGAAAGTATAAAACGGTGAAAGCATGGATTACAGAGACCAGAGAGACATCTCAGACGAGCCCAATGAAATTCTGCCTTGTAAAGAATATATAAAATAGTGTCTCATTTTCAGTGGCAATAGAAGGGAGATGTTTGAGGACAGCCAACAGTTTTATACTTCATTCTACAAAAACCAAATTGCTTAAAAATAGGATACCTTCTGCAGGTGCCATTCAATGAATCTTCTGTCCAAAATCCAACAGGCAATATATACCCACTTAGTCCTAGGTAGGAGTGGCTTGGTTCAAAGAGGGGAAATGGTAAAAATAAGATAGTACCCGTAAAAAAAACAACTTTTCTACCTATTTTCCTAAACCTTTACTTTTTCTCCATCACTTATTTAAAAAAAAAAAAAAATCTGTGGGCCCTATAATACAGTTTAACAACCGGGGTCTAAAACTCAAAGGCAGGCCATGGCTCTGAGAAAGGCTCAGGACCACCGTGTGTGATTCCCAAGTTTCTGGGGTTCGGTGGGCTACCTGCACTGCACATGCTCGCAAACTCTGTGGGAGATGTAATGCTAGAGTCCTTGATCCTAAAGACCTTGAACTGTTGCTGAAGAGATTAACACAGATACATGAAGACTAATACAAGATCAATGAAGGACTAGAGTGTGCAGTAATGAGAGCTACGAGACACATGGGTGAGAACCTATGCCTGCCGTGTGGCCAGGAGCACGGGAGCCAGCTCATGCTGACTGCACACACCTCGCCCAGTTCTGAACCAGCACTCCTCAGCGCCCTCGGGACCACACGCACTCTGCTTACCAAGTGCTGGTAACACTGTGGTCCACACGGCTTGTTGTCCAGAGCCGTTTCTGTGTTCTTCCGCTTATAAGTGTTGGGTGTTGCATGAAAAGCTGCAAAATAAAGATAAAATATCCAAATAAAGCTATAAAATATTTATGCCTTCATTTCCCCAGTTTCAATGGGAAAAGTCAGTATGTTCCAGTCTCACCAATACGTGCTTCACATCCCACAACTTTCCTGCCACTCGACTCCCACAGGGCACAAACACTGCATTCTGGAATGATTAGTGGTTTCTTATTTTCCTCCTCATAAGTATAACTGAGGCACATAAACTCTGAACTTTGATCGTAAACATTTGAGTCTCTAATATCTCCACAGAAACGACTGACTCATCCTCTACAATGAAATGAGATTTCCTATTTTTACCAAAAGAATTCTGACATCTACAATTTCCTGGTTTCCAAAGAAGTCAGCAGTCGGTCTGTCCCACGGGGGAGCAGAATGGATACCGCTGTTAAAAACTAATTTTTAAGTATAAAGACAGCCTCAAAACACTCAAGTGCATTTTCTTTGAATTATACACAACTCAAGGATCTAGTGAGAGCCAGGAGCCAGCACCTTTCCACAGGAAAATACCACCTTTTGCTGTAACTCAAATGCTGCCCTTTAGAGGACAGGGTCAGTAAGTTACAGTGCGTCCCATAGCAGAAGCCCATGCAGCTGCCAGACAGAACAACACGACGGTAAGTCAAAAAGCAACAAAGCCTGGATAACGTGGCACCACTTGAATAGGATTAGAGGGGGCTTTTTATAATTTACCATATATATATATATATATATATATTCCCATTGTGCAGACACAAAACAAAATGAAAGCACAAAATGCTGTATGTAACATATGTTTAGTAATTTACCTAATGGTTTGTTTTACCTAAGAAAAGTACATAGTGTGAAACACTTTATCCAAGTTATGCCCATAGAATTCGTGGAGGCTACACGAGCAGCCTGACTGTGTAAGGAGAGGTGGGCACAGAGCCTGCTGGACATGCCACCCCCGCCCGCTCCCAAGCACTAGCCAACTTCATTAGAGTGAAACTGGTCTCTCTTCTCCCCAGCTTGAAAAATGAGATAATTAACAAGTTCAAGGTTCATCAAAATCACTCAAATCTGATCACAAAATAACTCTTGTAATAACATTTAAAAGCAGCATCCTGCTTCTTTGATTCATCTGTACAACAAAAAAGGTACACGAAATGCTACATCTATAACCAACAAACTGGGGGGACAATTTCACTCCTTTTTTTGGTACACTGACATGTGAATGCAATTTACAATATTCTTAATAAGAATTGGACACATTCTATAAAACGACCATGTGTAAAGGGGAATTGAATGCAATTCAAAACAACTATGTCAAGGGCTGTGTGAAGACAACACTGGGAAGCCAAAATAAGGTAAGTATTTGAGAATCACCCGACAGCCATAAAGTATTAAAACTACTAAACCATCAATTTAAACTAGACAGGAGTGTGGATAACAGCAAGGAGATGGGAGACATAATAATAATTCTAAAAACCTACTTAAAGTTTTTCTAACTTAATTAAACCACTAAAACTTCACAACAGAAATACCATTTCCAGACCAAGATGCACATCTCACCACAGATCAGGAGCTGTGCAGATGAAGTGCACAGACAGCAAAACTCAATTGGGTGCAAGAACTAAGGGCTTGGGCAGGCTAACTCACACTGAGCACGACTGGAAAACGAGGGGAAAGTTCTGTGAAAGGTGGGCTCAAGGACTGAAAAAGACAAGGCGACGTGGGGCCATTCAGTGCAGGGGGACGACTTTACACAGGCGCAGAGCCCCTGCCGTGTTGCCACGCCACTGACACCACACTAAAATGTAATATGGAAAAGGCTCATCGATACCAAGTAAACCCTGCTTAGGATACTGGAAGGTATGAAATATATTTTCGAAATAAGTTCCTCAAAAGTAGTTGGTACTTTTTAAACTGTGCTTAAAGAAGTTCCAGTTACCTGGACAATTTACCAAGAAACCTCATTCCCCAGCAATGGCAAAAAATTAAGTACTATTGTGTGTGCCGTACTTCAATTTCATTAGGAACATTTTATGCTTTACTGTATTCAAATGCAGCTATTTCCAAAAGGACTAAAAAAAGAAAAACAATTTAACACTAGACAAGTAAGAATATCTTGAACAATTTTGTTAAAGAAACTGACTACATCCATATCACAGCATTGCCCTGGGTTATCACTAATTCACAATAATAGTTTATTATGAAACAACTGCTCCATTAGCACTTATGGAAAACATCAGTGACATGTATCCCAGGTTAGTGGGGGGGAGACAGCAGTCCAAATCAAACACGGGCAAAAGATTTGCAGCAACACTCAGGCAACAAATTAAAAAATAACAAGAAACTGATCCTAACATTTTCAATCTTAACTGAACGATTAAATGATAAATTCTAGTTTTAATAAATGACAACAATTTCCAAGTTGCTCTAAGATATAATTCCACAACAAAGACAGAAATTGAAAGCGTACAGTAACTGCACTTACGGTGTAGGAAACAGTCGTACTTGAAACATCGCCTACAGAAGAGTGTGTGAAATGAATGCAGGCTCTGCTCCCTCTGAACAGATTTAGCATTTGGTCCATCTATGTTCGGGGTACACTCAGGAGGAAGTGCCCCTGGGAGCTGCTGCTCAGTGAGTTCTTTATATCTGAAGTGAACCAAGAAAAATGTAAGTCAATGAGAAACAAAAGTTATTGTTTTAAAAATAAAGTTTCTAGCCCAGCCAGTATGCCTCAGCAGTTGAGCATCGACCTAGGATCCAGGAGATTGAGGTTCAATTCCCGGTCAGGGCACATCCCGGGATTGCAGGCTCGATCCCCAGTAGGGGGTGTGCAGGAGGCAGATGACCAATGACTCTCATCACTGATGTTTCTATCTCTCTCTCCCTCTCCCTTCCTCTCTCTGAAATCAATAAAGATTTAAAAAAAAAATTCAATTCATGTCCTGGCCAGTGTTCTCAGTGGTTAGAGCATCGGCCAGAGGACTGAAGGGTCCCAGGTTGGATTCCGGCCAAGGGCACGTACCTTGGTTGCAGGCTTGATCCCCGACCCCAGTCAGGGCATGTGCAGGAGGCAACCAATTTCTCTCTCTCTCTCTTCCCCTCTCTCTTCTACTCTCTCTGAAAAGCAATGGAACAAATATCCTCTGGAAAGGGTTAAAAATAATTTTTTTTTTTAAAAAGAATCAAATTCATGAAAAAATGTTAACATTAAACATCAACTGCACTAAAATTCCTATAAGTGTCCAGAGAAATTCTCTACATGTAGTATTGCAAAGTATGCGTGTGCCTGTTCTATCATCGTCAAGTTTTTGTAGAAAAGAGCACCACAAGTAAATGTTTCACTTCAAGTATCTTGGCAAACATGTGACAAATGACACAAGTGGCTCATCAGCTACATTAGTTCCATTCCAATAAACCAAATGGCAAGAGACATCCCACTCAAGGTAAGGCTGCCTCAAAAGAATAAATCTTACTTTTCCTTTAATTCTTCTGCTGTGCCCTTATCTGGAAACATTGAGGAAATGGCTTCAAAAATTTTGTCAGAAGGAAATTTCCGAGGAGGGCGGCTTTCTTTATCTAAACAGGGAATATGAAAGAACAGAAAAAATGAAAGTAAGTTAGTTTTCAATCTTTCATTTTCTCCACACAACTATATGCAACAAAAGCTCATCTTCTAAGAAATTATCAACTTTGTGTTACACTTACTACCAATATATCTTACAGGTATTTGGCATGATAGTAGTAGGTCAGATAAACAAAAACTTCAAAATCCAATATGCAAAGTTTTAGGCAGACTGGGAGGCAGAAACATAGGTTCTAACCCTGGCTCTGCTACTAACTGGTTTTGTGACGTTGGCTGGTTACTGACCGACTTGGGTCTGGGTGATCTGTAAATGAAGGCACTGAACTACACGATCACTAAGGTGCCCATCATAAAAATTTTATGCTTCTTTGAGATTGCAGTTTTCCCCAAATCCTTCTGTTACCTTAATAATGAGCTTTGCCAAGTCTCCACAAGCTCCCGGCTCTGACTGAGGACCCCGTTTCTCTGGTGTAGGGCTTAAGGGCATGGGCTCTCGAGGATTCGGAGCTGGTTACCATTACAGTGCTCTGGGTTGTTTCTTCCCAACAGTGTGAACTTAAATAAGTTACTTCGCTGCACTAAACCTCCTATCTCCTCAGAGCATGAAACAGACCTACCTGTGAGGCATCGTGAGGGTTAGGTAGCTGGTGTGTATAAAGGGATCAGCACACTACTTGTCCATAGCAATGATCAACGTTACCTAATGATGATTACGACTGCCCAGTGAAACCCAAAACCACAATAAACTCTTTTGCTAGCCAAAGGACATAAAAACATCCAAGTGCAGAATGAAATGTTACAAATAATATTCTAATTTCAATTATACTGCTATCAATGTGATTTTTAACAACAATAAAAGGAATGAAGATCCACTTGCACTCCGCTGTTTTTGAAAGATGTTGTGATGGCAACACACAGACCTAACAGACATACCGTCTCGGTTCTCTTCCAGGTCTTTCTGTTTTTCTTCCCTTTCATCAGGATCATCTCCATCATCATCATCATCATCATCGTTGTACTGACCAAGGGCATTCACCAACTCCACAAAAATTTCATCATTTATAAACCCACATTCTGAAATTCACCAAGTCAGGTATCAGAAATATACAGAGAAGAGTGGTGAGGACGACAGTTTACATACGCCTATTCTGACGGGGAACAGGCAGAGCCTATCAATCAGCACTGTAACATTATTAAACGAGGGGGGAGGGAAGATCCTTTTCAGGACCAGAATTTACCTTCAACACTTGTCATTTTCTCTTTAACATCCCTCCCCCAAAAGTTTCCAGTGTCTCTACTGTAACCTATTCTCTAGGAATTAACTGGGCCTTGGCCTCCTCTGAAACACTGTACCTGACAGACCTCACTTCCACTAAGGGTGAGGGCGACGAGGTCAGACGTGCCACCCTCCTGCCAGATAATCGAGCAGGCTCTACTGGACAAAAACCCCAAAGCCAAGACTCCAACACAGAATGTCAGGGACTGCAGCAGCCTGGGGGCAAGGAGTTTTAGAGGGTGGAGCCTTTGGGAGCCCAAGTCACATAAGCAGAGCCCTAGTTCTAACTAACGTGACTGCTAAAGAATCTTAAAATCTGCATATACTCAAACAATTCTATTTACATGTTACTGACATAATTTGTTATAACCAACAACAAATGAATAATTTTCACATTGCAAACATGGTCCCTCAATTTAAAAATGGAGAAAACACAAAATTTTAGCCTTGAGAGCCAGGCCAGTCCAGCACAAAATGTCATATTTTAAAAAATCTTTTCCATATCTATGCTAAAAAAAAAAATCTCAAAAATCTCTCTCAATTCTTTGGCCGCCTTTCCAAGGGAATAAACACAAGGCTCACCTCTATCCCCATGTACTTTTCCATCATAATTTTTTATTAGTTCTTCAATGAAAGTCCCATCCTGGTCTAAAACTTCATCCCCCATATAAGGAATGTTATGTAAAACAGTTTCATCTTCCACCTAAAAATTTTTAAAAAATAATAAATTTAAAAGCAGCCTTAAGTATCAAATTTTTTAAAAATTAATGTAATAACTAAAATACAGCAATTTTTTCATAAGAAGATGTCTTTACCCAGTTCTCCAGGCCTAAAATACACAGCAAACTCTAAAAACTATAAATAAAAGACCCTTTTCACCAACAAGCATAACAAAGACACAAATCTAAGAAAATATACTATTTACCTCATCCAACATGTCATCATTAAAACTTCCCATTTTATGTACATGTTCCTGTTTCTTTTTCTTTTTTTTTAATATCTTTATTGATTTCAGAGAGAGGAAGGGGGAGAGGAAAGGGGAGAGGGATAGAAACATCAATGATGAGAGAGTCATTGATCGGCTGCCTCCTGCACGCCCCGGACTGGGGATGGAGCCCGCAACCTGGGCATGTGCCCTGACCGGGAATCAAACCTTGATCTCCTGGATCCTAGGTCGATGCTCAACCGCTGAGCCATGCGAGCTGGGCTCATTCTTATTTCTTCTGATGATAGTGTCTTAGAATTGATGAAATATGGTTCATCAAAATGAACTATAAATAACTATACCTTTAAAAAAAACTAACATAAGGGCTTCTAGATTTAACTATTGAGAGACATTCCATATAATAAAATTCTAGGGATATAAAATAGAATATCGATGATCCATTAAAGTTTATGCCAAAAGATTTACTTGTTTACATAAAATTAGAACTTTCTAAAATAATGAAAAATATTTTGATACTGAGATGAACAGGAAGCATATCAAAATTGATAATGCTAATGAAGATGACAAATGAGTGTATAGCAAAGTTTAGAAGACAACAGGGAAGAAAGAGGGTGCTAGCTAAGCTGGCAAGAGGCAATCAAAGAAAAGTTCAGAGAACGGAGTGCTTAAGAATAAAAGGGCAGGAAGCTGCCATCATGGGAGGAAGAGAAGGTTCGATAAAGAATAAAAAAAGACAGTAATTACAGGTGAAACTAGAGGGCTCTGAAGTCCATATTTAAGGACACTAAACTGTGGATCAGTCTAAGTCTTAGGTCCTTAAACGGGGTATGGATTAAAAATAGAATTTTAGAAAGATAATTCTGATAAGAGGAAAGGACAGGCTAACCGACCAGAGGTCATGGCAGCTATTTCAAGTGTCAGGTGCCACAGGCTGGTATAATGACCAATGGGGAATGCACAGGAAAAAGCCGTGAGACACACAGCAGTAGTGGTCAGGAAATACAAAGAAAGGGAAAATTTTCCAATAATCCTCAGATAACAAATTTAGGATAACTGCAGAGTTTATACCTTAGACAAACAGAAATGAAAATTTAAATTTTAATGTACTTATCTATTCAGATCAAGCTTGTGTACAACTAAAGAGTCCAGTTTTCATTGCATCTCACTTGCACTAACCCCATTTAAAGTAGGAGAGTTCATTTTTTTGGATGCAAGCAAAAATTAAGTGACAATGGCTATTTTTTTCTTCCCAACTATATCCATATAGTCTTGTAGCCAAAACATACCCTAGCATAATAAAGATAGTCTGCCTAATCTACTTAGGTCAGTGTCCAGCAAAACCCATGGATGATTCATAAATCGTGTACATTGGCAAGCTTAAATACAATATTCTTTCAGAATTTCAGTTCAAAAATATGAAACTTCCCTTAAGCTCTTCCAATATGATTCAAACTAAATATTTTTGAACAAAGCCTTAATAAACACACAAATTTATGCAACTACAGAAGAGTATGCGAAGTTTGCCTTTAACCCGCCACTGTAAAATCTTTAAAAGTTATTAAAGGCATTGGAAATATAAGCAATTCTCTAAGTTGCCTCACCAAAGACTTTCATCAACATTTTATTACCCTTATTATTTTAGATATCAAGTAATAAAACTATATTTTTATGCACTAACACTATTTTATATATAAAGTAGTAAACTATATGTTTTTATTGAGCGGCACGAGTCAAGAACACACACTCCAATTTCTCCCGTTCCACCTCCCTTCATCCTACTTCTACCAAGAAACACAGTGCTAGCGTTTCATTACAAAAGCTATTGGGCCACTGTTATCTGTGGAAACATGCTTGTGTTTTATAAGCCTTGAGAATATTCCCTAATGTACATTATCATTTAATAACATGCTGCCTAAAATTGTTTTAACTAAGTTCTCAATGAACAAAACCTCATAGACTGACCTGACCTCTTCAGGGCTAAAGACTATAAACTGTGTCTTTTAACTGCTTTTAATCCCAGGTACAGTCTTGCTTAATACTTTTCCTCTGAAGAATATTTTAACTAGAAAGGACTAGGAAAAGAGCAACAGTGCACAGGCTTAAAATAGATACATAAAAATTGGTAAAAAAACATCACTCTGACTGCTGCCATTTTCATAGCTTTTTTACTCATATTATCTTGACTCAGCTTAATGAGAAAATCATCTATGCTATTTATTTAAAATAGTGATTATCAAATAAGCAAATATATTATTTACATACCATAAAATTCTGCTGTAGGGGAGACCAAGAGTACATTATGGGTACTGAGGCAACAGCATTGAGAGTCTTTAATGGGATGACTTGTGTTGGGAAATCCAAGTCACTGGACACTGAACACTAGAACAGAAAAAATAAAATGACTCGTAAGACTAAGACAACCTGAAGCTGTAGCAATTGTATTATATAGAAATGCTGCCTACTTATGTAATTTTAAAAAGGAAATTTTTAAATTACTGTCTTTACCTAAGACAGTCAAGTTCATAAAAACCAAGGAGGGTGGGGCTTCTTTTACTTGGGGTGAAAATAAAATGCTTCAAATTTTGCACATTTTTTAAACCCACTACCCCTTCCCATACTTACCAATCAAAAATTGTATTTATATTAGCTTTCGATTAAGTGCTGGAAATTTCCTCCACATCTCAACCACATGGAATAATACTACAGATGCCAAATATGCCACTTAAATCTTACTTAAGAAGATATGGAAACTTGTTAGGTGACCCTTCCTTATCTTTATCTTCCCTTTTATAAAGCCCAGGTGTCATTTGCTGAATTATCAGGTGGTTCACAAACATTAAAGGGTAATAAATAGATCGCAACAAAATGGATTCAAATCATCTCTGCAAAGTATAAGCTCTACACTCTTAGTATAAAAAAGCTAATGTCATTAACTTTGTATGTGCCAGGCACGATCTTCCACACATTACACGTCTCAGCGTATTCAGTCCTCTATACAACACTGTAAAATGGAGACTGTCCTTAGCCCCATTTTACAGGTGAGAAAAGGAAGGTGAAGCAAGGATAAGTAACTGGCTCACGGTCACAGATAGGGCTAGAATTTAAACCCAGAAGGCCTGACTCTGGAGCCCTGCACATATTGCCGTGACACCAAATTTCCATAGTGGGTAAGTGCCTACATTCCCTTTAAATTCCGTATTTCATCCAATCCACGATGACATCAATTTCAGTATCTTCTGTATCACTAAAAAATAACATTCCAGTTGAACTATAACATAATGCTTTCTTATCACAGCAATTCTAAAGTGCACGATGGTTTCAGATGTTGAAACAGTAAACACTCTGCATCCTCGATTCTATGAAATACGGCAATGATCTGTGCCCAAGCAGCCACAGCACTGTGCACCTGTCTAGGAAACCAACTTTTCTTAGAGGGGCCTTTACCCGATTATCAGGTCTCCAGAGCCTTCTCAAAAATACCTGGACACACATGCATAATCTATAACCAATGAAAATAGAGCACAAATAAAGTAGAATTGAAGTGGTAAAACAGAGCAAATATTAATAATATATACACATAATTTTTAAACATTTAATTTTTATTTAAGAGGTCTTAAAAATAGCAGGACTAGCTCTGGTGACATCTGAGTGGACATGGTTGTCACAGAGGCCACACCTGGCTCTCGGCATTTTTGTCAGGCCAGGGGGTAACCTGGCAACAGTCACAGTCACTGCAGCACAAATAGTTCCTTCCTCTGTGGAAGTGAAGGTTTAAAGACAGAGTAGTTAGGAAGAACTGTGACAGTAATTAATCCATTAATTTGCTTTCCAAAAGGGCAAAGATAAAGATAATAATACTAGAAAGCTCATAGCTCAAATAAATAAGGTGTGAACAGTTCACTAGTACTCCAGAACCCACAATCTTTCCCGTTCCACTCTTTAGTCTGATACAATTCTTCATCCATCAGTCCAATACTCCAATAATAAGAGTAGTTAACATTTATTGAGCACATACTATGTTGCAGGCACTGTGCTAAGTGCTTTATAGCCACTATCTTAACTACTCTCATCTCGGCCATTAGCTTCACAAATGAGGTGGACAGTGAGGTTCAGAGAAGTTAAATAACTGGCCTAGTCAGAAAGGCAGTGAATTACCAAGCCAGGATGGAAGCCTACGTCTGACTCCAGCACCCAAGAGTTTCATAACTGCTACAGCCATGCAGCGGGTGCTGCAATGCCTATCCTCCCCCAGCACCCTCCTCTTTTATTACTGTCACTACCAAGTCTTCCTTCCCTCCTCCCTAAGTAGGATACTTAACACTGTAACTCTGGGGCATGTATTATCCACTGTCCAGTGATTTTAAGAACAGAATAACTTTCATTTCTTGCAAAAGAATTACAGGCTTGTTTTTTATTTTATACTTGGCAGAGGTAATTAATTCTGGGACTTTAATTCTGAAGATCTGCCCCCATAAAGCCTGGGGGGAGGGGGTGCAGAGGAGTAGGTTGCCTCTCCAACTCTGACTTATTTGCCTCCTTTAACATTTAAATCCAAGGTCACACTTAAGGTTAGATAGCTGAATATTCTATTCAACTACTAAGCAGGAGGGACCTTGGCCCTGCTTCATGTTTGCTCTGGCCATGTACAAAATGCTCTGGGTCTACTGAATGAGGTCAGCTGAGTTTTCCCATGAACAGAAAGAACTGACAGAAGCACAGAAATAAGATGGCAAAGGCTAAGTCCTCAGTGCTACCTCCACCCACAGCTGTCAGACTCCATGAGCCATCGTCTCAATTCGAGTCATAGAGTCACCGAGCTCTCTGAGGGCAGAGCGGTGGAGGCAGAGTGTGGCTTTGCTTTACCTCTCTGTCTCTCAAAGATACTCAGCACAGTGTCTCAAAAAAGAGTAGGCACTCAAAAAATGTTTCTGGAATGCACAGACTGCATTTGTCGGCTCTCCCTAATGGAGACTTCAACTTCAAATTTCTCTTTAAAGCTGAGAGAGCATCTATTTAGAAAACTAAAGATCCACACCACCTCATTCTCTACGTAATATCTCCAGAAACCTGTCCCATTCATTAACTATCAACCTTAACTAATAACCACATTCCTTTCAATTATGAAATAATACTCAAATGCAAAAGCATTTGTTGGTAAAAACAAATTTGGGAATTCTTATTTAAATTGACTTATAGGAAAATTACTAAAAAATCCCAGTTACTTACCAGTAACTTTTTTTCTTTGAAAATGTATCATCCTTGACAGTTCCATACTTAAGCCTCCTATCACTCAGAGTTCTGAAAAGGATTTTGTCCTCATGGATCTCCACAGCATTTTACCTGATCAGAGTCACATGTCCTGGACTCAGGAGAGGAGCTCACTAGGAGACCACCTATGTCAACAAATTAAATTCTCTAATTTTAGTTTCAACTTGAGGATCATACAAGGAAGTTATCAGAGATGATTCATCATCAATGATAAGGGAAGAAAAAAACTACATTAATTATCAAGGATGCTACATTTTCAGAGAAACACAGCTTACTGGTAAGTAACCAGGTTCCTCTGAGGATGGATAGACTTACATCAACCAGCTGGTACAATAGGCGACTGTGTGGCTGGACCACTGGGAGCTGGAGAGGGAAGTCAAGCCAAAAATAGGAGTTGTAGGAGTACACAACCAAACTGAGACTCTTGGCAGAAGGCTGGTTCCAAGTAAAAACTGTGTTATGGAAAATCGTAGAGGGAAGAGCAGGTGAATGGCCTGCAGGGAAGGGAAAGAAATTAACACACCCTACTATGTGCCAAGCACTGTGCTAGAGACTTTACCAAAGTTAACTTCTTTAAAACTCACCACTACCCTATGAGTTAGATGACTCCCCATCTTACAGTGGGACATCCCAAAGGACAATGGCCATAGCCATCCAGTCTCTGAACAATCTTTAACATCAGAAGAGTTAAGTCCGACTTCCATGTAGTAGGGGGAGAAAATAGTCAGTTAGCCAAGTTAAAAATATTCTTGGATACTGATTGGTCCATTTGATTCATGCCAGAGACACAATGAACTGCTGATACTGTCTAATATCCTTTAGCTTTTCCAAGTAAAACAATAAGGAACTGTCTGACATCTAAGGTGTAGGAAAGAATGGTCAGGAGGAAGCATCACAGCTACCCAACTCTAGAGAAAAGCTGAGCATGATTTCTGAAACTACCCATATTCTTCAGGGTCAGAGTAAAGAGAACACAAGGAAGTGCTGAAGGGAAAAGTGTAGTGCAATAAATATCAAGTCTAGACCAAGTCGAGGGAGGCTCGATAGTTAAGTGACTCTTAACCAGGTCAGAGGGTGATTAGGAGAAAGTGATTCACAGAAATGAGTGGCTCCAACAGGAGAGTCAGAAATAAAAATGCAAACAAAAAATCCTGATACGGATGCATTTAATACAAGCAGCTAATCAAGGGTGTCAGAGGAGCGGTTCACTCCAGCCTCTAAATTACTTCTATTTTGTTGTTGAATATTTTTGTTGCAGAGCCATCTGGCTGGGGGGACAACCCCTACCTTGTAGCACAATGCTCTTGCACCGGAGTTCACATATGCATAATAGAAAGATGTCGTCCTATAAGCGGCAATTCTTACACTTCTGGGGGGGTGGGGGAGCCATATGTAGCATTTAACAGAACACATAACATTTGGAATACAACTTCAGGAAGTTTAGACACTTAAAGCTCTCCCCTGCATCCTGATCCTGAATGAAAGAGATCATAAATATATAAACCTAGTGAAGATATTAACTGTTAAAACCCAATGCAGTCTGGGTCTGAAGGGGGCTGGTGGGAAAATCATCTCCTCATAACCTGCAGTTATGCGCAAATACTGGAGAGCAGAAACAGAATAATAGTCACAGGAAATAAGTTGGTAAAACTACAAAAACACTCAACAAAGGACATGAAGCAAGTAACAGAGCCATGTTCATCCATTACATGCAATGTACCTAATTCAAGAATAGTCCTGTGTGTGGAAACTAAGACCATTTCTCTCGTAGAAAAACAAACAAAAAAGAAACCCACAAAAACTAAGACACGGAACAAAGAGTGTGTTATACAAGTCCTTGGCTTCCATATGCTATGGCAACCCAATCACCATGAAGTCTTGATTCCATAAGCGAACATGGGATTGAACGCTATAGAGTAGTAGAGGCCCCAGTTAAAGAGAAGCCAGCCGGTCAGCCAGCCGGAGTCGTGGGGGGGAAAAGCACCAAGTCCTCGCTCAGGGGGTAAACCTGGCTCAGCTGGCCACCAATTAGGTTGATCTTTGCAAAACAGATTTATAACTGCTCTGCAATCATTCCCTGGCTATGTATTGAAACAACTATAATGCTAAAT